GAAGTCATTCTCCAGGGCCTCTCCGAACTCCTCCCATGCCCGAGTTTTTGCCTCAGTGACCACCTGAGTCGCATGTTGCTTGGACTGCCGGTACCCATCAATTTTTTCCGGAGTCCCACAGACCAAAAAGGCCAGATAGGATTCCTTCTTCAGCCTGACAGCATCCCTCACAGCCGGTGTCCACCACCGGGTTCTAAGGTTGCCGCCGCGACAGGCACAGACAATCTTGCGGCCGCCTCAACAATAGAGGCACGGAACATGGCCCACTCGGACTCAATGTCCCCTACCTCCCCCGGAACATGTTTGAAGTTCTCCCAGAGGTGGGAGTTAAAGCTCCGTCTAACAGGAAACTCTGCCAAATGTTCCCAGCAAACCCCCACAATACGTTTGGGCCTGCCAGGTCTGACCGGCATCCTCCTCCACCATCGGAGCCATCTCACCACCAGGTAATGATCAGCGAACAGCTCTGCTCATCTCTTCACCCGAGTGTTCAAGACATGTGGCTGCAGATCAGATGAGACAACGACAAAGTCGATCATCAAACTGCTGCCTAGGGTATCCTGGTGCCAAGAGCACATATGGACACCCTTATGCTTGAACATGGTGTTTGCTATGGACAATCCATGATGAGCACAGAAGTCCAACAACAGAACACCACTCCGGTTCAGATCGGGGGGCCGTTCCTCCCAACCACACTCCTCCAGGTCTCACTGGCATTGCCCACATGAGCATTGAATTCCTCCAGCAGAACAAGACAGTCCCCAGTAGGTGCACTTTCCAGTAACCCCTCCAAGGACTCCAAAAAAGGTGGATAATCTGAGCTGCCGTTTGGTGCATAAGCACAAATGACAGTCAGAACCCATCCCCCCACACGTAGGTGGAGGGAGGCTACCCTCTCATTCACTGGGGTGAACCCCAACACACAGGCACCAAGATGGGGCGCAATAAGTATGCCCACTCCTGCTCGGCGCCTCTCACCAGGGGCAACTCCAGAGTGGAAGAGCGTCCAACCCCTCTCAAGGAAACTGGTTCCAGAGCCAGAGCCATGCGTCGAGGTGAGTCAGACTATTTCCTCTCAACCTCACACACCAGCTCAGGCTCCTTCCCCACCAGTGAAGTGACATTCCATGTCCCAATAGCCAGCTTCTGTAGCCGAGGATCAGACCGCCAGGGTCCCCGCCCTCAGCCACCACCCATCCCACATTGCACCCGACCTCTTTGGCCCCTCTCACAGGTGGTGAACCCATGGGAAAGGGGACTCGCGTCTCCTCTTCGGGCCGAGCCCCATGGGTCAAAGCCCGGCTGCCAGGGGCTCGCCCGCGTGCCCCACCTCCAGGCCTGGATCCAGAGTGGGGCTCTGGTGACCCACGTCCGGGCGAGGAAACATCGAGTCCATTTATTTTTCTCATCATAGGGGTGTTTGGGCTGCATTTTGTCTGGTCCCTCACCTCAAGATATAATACTTTTCAATAATGAAACAATAAGAATAGTAAACTTTCAGATAACAGTGAGATGGAAAGAGTCGAGCTTTTAAAGCAGAAATCATTATGAATAAAATCTATTTTAAGGCACACTTTCCTGTTCATTCAAACACTGATTCAATTTGAACACATGTTAAAAAAGAACATGTGTCTTTGAATATACCCTCATTACTGCATGCATCCTCAAATAAAAATCACTGTAATGCCACTTTAATTGGTGATATGCGACTTATCTGTGCTGCTGATTATCCATGCTGCTAATCTCATGCTGCTGATTATCTCATGCTGCTGTATTCATTGCTCACTACAGACTCATGTTCAGGCTGCTGTTATTATGCTATATTGTTTTACAGTATTAGTGTTTAGAGTAATTCTTAGATCTTTTGGTGTGCCATTTGACATTTGTTTAGTTTATATCTTAGATCCTCATATACTGTTTCTTTTTACAATTTATATTTTTGCTATTGTTCGAAGTAACTGGGACCCTGTGTACATAATTTAATTCTACCTCATGTACCACATGTGATGAGAATGACAACAAAATTGACTTGAACTTGAACTTATCCATCTATCCATGATCTTTTGTTGAGAGAACATGCAAACTCCACCCAGAAAGGACCCGGGACAGGGATTTGAACCAGGGTAACCTGCTCGCTGAGAGGCAGCAGCTCTACCAGTTGTGCCACCGTGCTGCATTTAAACTTATCTGAAATATATATATTTTATTGGTTGCCTTTCTTTAGCAGGACTACAGGGAGGAAAAGAAACATAAAGAGCAGAGAGTTGGTAGAGCTGTTGCCGGTTCAAATCCCAGCTTGGAGTTTGCATGTTCTCTCTGTGCATGCGTGGGATTTCTTCAGGCACTATGGTTTCCTCCCACAAACCAAAAACATGCACTTTAGGCTGATTGGTAACTCTAAATCAGAGGTGTCAAACTCACTTACAAAAGGGGGCCAAAATTAAAAACTTTTTCAAACTGAGGGCCGGTTTCAGAATCTACATTAACTCGAGTCAGATACCAAACAGCTTTTCTTGGTTGCAGGTTCCTCAACAAGAGTTTGATTGGTCTCATTTGATGTTTTCTGTTGCACTTTTGACATCATAATCAAAGATTACTGAAAAAATGAAAGAGATAAAAGTATTTTACATTTAAAATAATATCTTGGGGGCCAGATAAGGTGTCAACGAGGGCCACATTTGGCCCACGAGCCTTGAGTTTGACACACATGCTCTAAATTGTCCCTAGGTGTGAGTGAGAGTGAATGGTTTCTGTCTTTGTGTCCCTGTGATGGACTGGAGACCTGTCCAGGGTGTCCCCGACCCCTCACACTGTAATTGCTGGAAATGGGCACTAGTAATCCCCACGACCCAAAAAGGAGGAAGCGGGTAAAGATAATGGATGAGATAGGAATGCCTCCATCACTGATGTCTCTATCATTTTATATTCCTTTCATCTCTGCTCTGGACCGCTCCCATTCTCTCATTTTGCTTTGTTTTCTCCTCCATCAGACTCACCTCATGGCTTTAGAAGCAGAGCTGTCTCGTATTCAGGAAGTGAGCAGCCACCAAAGGAAACGCATTGCTGAAGTTCTCAATGGCCTCATGAGGGACCTGCGAGAGTTCAGCACCATAGTTGGAAACAGAGAAATCAAGCTGGTAAGTAGAGAGAACAATACAAGTTTTGAGTCATTATATCTTCTTTCTGATGCATTATACAAAATAAAACATTAGATTTTTTACAACTATAGATGCAGAATTCATCTTTATTTTTTCTTCTTTATAGTGTTTTAGTATAATGCTCAAAATAGTTTACAGGTATTTTCATAAGCATCTTTCATATATTTAGACTGATGATTAAATTTGTTTTATGTTCCACAGTCCATTGCCAAACAGTTGAATAACACACATACGCACAAAGTGCCAGAAAGTCTTTGGATCTTTGTTCCTCTTTCATTCCCCGGTGGTCTTTAAACCGTCGCTGCTCAATCTTGATCAAACATTGACTCTTTCAACAGTCTCTCCTCCTCTTTACCTTCTTCCTCTCCAGCCCGTGGAGATCAGTGGGGTGATAGAGGAAGAGTTCACAGTGGCCCGCCTCTTCATCAGTAAGATAAAGTCGGAGGTGAAGTCGATGGTGAAGCGCTGCCGCCACTTGGAGAGCCTCCAAATGGAATGCCAGCGCAAGATGGAGGAGACGAGCAGGGAGCTGTCCATGTGTCACCTTCTTGTCGCACAGGTGAAGCGAGATCGATGGATTTGCTGTTCGTTAAAGAAACCGATACGTATAGTTGTATATGTCAATACTAAAGAGTTAAAAACAAAATGTCTTAGGGAGGAAAATGCTTGTTAATCTGTTGCATCTCAGGGAGTTTTTGATGGAAAAAACGATAAAATCTTAATTATCACCACACAAGTATGTTTTCTGCACTTGTCTTTGTCAGTTTATTTATCATTTCATGTAGTTTTGGAGCTCTTTAGTGAAGCAAATTGGATTTTTTTTTTTTTTTTTTTGTCTTCATGGAGATTTTCAGCTTTTTTTTTGCTTGAAATGAACGTGCACATGCTCTTCTGATTCTTAAAGCATGATGCATTTCATATTCTGTCTGTCTGTTGCCTGAGGCCATCATAATGTAAATTTTACAATCTTCAGTGTTTAAACTAAATTCCCTAATGACTGCAAATCATGAATATTTATTGTGAAGCCACATTCATTCAGCCTAGAAGAAAAGTCCCTTATCTTTGGCGTAGTGATCTCTCGGGTGGAGGCTTTTGCTCATTCGTACCCTTTCTGCATCCTTGATGTTGTGGCTTTCAGCACGAGGCAAAGATCCGCTCTCTGATGGAGAACATGCACAATGTGGAGCTGAAGAAGAGACAGCTGGAGGACAGCTATGACTCTCTGACTGAGGAGCTGGCCAGACTCAGAGCCCAAGGTACAGTTGAGTCAAAACCAAGGCCCAGCAGCAGTTAGTGCAACAAAAACACATCCATCCATCCATTATCTTTACCTGCTTCTTCCTTTTCGGGTCACGGGGGTCACTGGTGTCCATGTCCAGCCATCACTGTACGAGAGGCGGGGGACACCCTGGACAGGTCTCCAGTCCATCACAGGGACACATAGAGACAAACAAGACAAACAAGCATTCACTCTCTCACTCACACCTAGGGACAATGTAGACTTACCAATCATTAAAACTGCAACCTCAATCTGAAAAAGCTGAGATAATGTATCAAATGTAAACAAAAACAGAACACATTGATTTGTAGATTTAGTAAATCCATATTTTATTCAAAATGGACCATATATATCAAATGCTTCAACTAAGAAATTGTACCAAATTCAGGAATGTTAAGGTGATTTTGAGTTTATTCCAACAACACATCTCCATAATGTTGAGAGAGGGCCATGTGCACCTCTGTGAAGCGTCCTCTCTTCTTTTAATAACGGTCTGTAAAGGTTGATGAACTGAGGAGACCAGTTGCTGTAGGTTTGCAGAGAATGATGGCCTGTTTTATTTTTTATTTGATTCATTTATTATCCTTTATTTAACCAGGAAAATGCCATTGAGATCACATATCTCTTTTGCAAGGGAGGCCTGGGCCTGAAGGCAGCCTAACATGTAAGTTTTTCGTCTGTGGGAGGAAACCGGAGTATGTGGAGAAAACCCCACGCAATCACAAGAAGAACATGCAAACTCCACACAGAAAGACCCCAGGTCCAACTGGGGATTGAACCCAGGACCTTCTTGCTGTGAGGCAACAGTGCTAACCACTGAGCCGCCATGCTGCCATTTGCTGCCTATTATTGTCTGCTGTAATCATTCCTGGGTCTTTACTAGATTTTTTTTCCTTCTTTTTTTGCTGAATGGGAGCATTTGCTGTTCAGAAACCTGGATAAACGTTTCTGCATTTCTAGGTTTTTTCCAGATGTATAAGCTGATACAGGTTCTAATGCACCATAGCATCAGAGAGGCAAGATTTGAACTGTACACTCACACCAGGCCAGATTATCCCTCTCCTTTTTGCAAGGACATGGTTTCTAAGAGGAATTTCAAAGTTTGATTCATTTTGCCTCATTTAACTTTAAATTAGCTTTGGTCCATAGAAGACAATACTGTTTCTGGTTGGTGGTTCTATGTATCTTCTTCTTTACATGATACACAGAGTTTGTGCTTGGCACAGTGAACTGTGTGTACAGACACTGATTTGTGCAATGATGTCCAGAACAGAGTTTGAGCTTTTTTATGTAGTGGCCCCTGAGGGCCTGAAGATCAAGGGAAACCAATCTTGATTTTCATCCTTGTTCTTTGCTCACAAACAAAACAAAGTTATTTATATTTGATTATTTATTAACTGTAAATGATAGGGTATTCAAAGTACCAAATTTCCATAGAGGAACAGTATTCTGAAATGTTTCATGTGCTAGTCAATTTTTTTTGTAGACTGGTGAACCTCAGCCCATGTTTACTTCTAAGAGATTGAGCCTCTCTAAAATGCTCTTTTTTATATCTGTTTTTCTTACTGGCCTTTTAACAATTACCTTAACTAACTGCAAAATGCTCTCCTGGCAGTTTTTCATTTGTACCAGATAATTTTACGGCATAAATATTTACTGCATGTCTCAACTGCTTTGAGATGTGTTACTGCTCAAAAAACTCCACATATAACAATACTTAATATAACAATTTCTCAGTTTCAGTGATTGAAATGTTTACTATAATATATTGTGAGTAAAACATGGGTTTATGAAATTTGCAAATCATTGTGCTGTTTTGGAATTGAGGTTGTTGCTCAAAGCATAAAGCAGTCATGTCTGTGAGAGTGGACTCAGCAGACAAAGAGTTGAACCAAGCGTAAATCTTGGAACATTGAATGGTTAGGATATTACTCTGCTTTTTCACCACCTTTGTTCAGCAAAGTACTTGTTTGTATTTATTTGAGGCTATTATTATTTCCCAAAAAATGTGTTTACAGGTAGAAAATAAATTCCCACTGAATAAACGATTTATTTGATCTAATTGTATTACTATGTAGAGCATCACATCCCTGTATTTATCCCAGAAATAAAAGCTCCATCACTTGGACCTGCCTAGTAATACAGTACTTTGTTTGTCTGAAAACTGCTGACAAGATGAAAAGGTGGAAACATTATGTCTGAACAGTTTGTTGTTTCATAAATTTCTGCAAAAATCTCACTATTTATTTATTTATTTTTTAACATTATCTCACACTATGTTTTGTGAGGCCTCAAAATGATATTTATATTTCCTTTGGCCCGTGAAAAGAAAATAAGCTGAGGCTGCCTGAATACAAATCGAGACAACTACATTTAACTATAAAGAGTCGGCTCATTAGCTTTCTCACTGGCTGCTGCCAAAGCAGAAAGTGGCCGTCGTTATGACTGCTGATGTGGAGTGGTGCAACAGTTATTGTGTCTGCAGGCATGTGCACTTCATTTTTTATGCTTTTAACTCTATAAACATGGTGTTTGTGTTTGTGTGGGGATGGTGCGGCTCATTGAACTTGTGATCTTCCTTAACTCGTTTTGGATGCACTATCTATCATCATGTAGGCTATTTATGTCTATTAGCAACCAACAGCCTGCAGAAAATCAGAGCTATGCTTAAAAAAAGTCCTATATTTTAATTCCATAGTTCTCCGCTGGAAGACAAAAGACTCATCATCTCTACAAATTACTATAAATCGCTGACTTGAGATACCAATGTTAAGTATCGGGTCCATTTCCTTATCTTTTGTTAAGATAATTTATCACAAAAGGACTAAACGGTGAGTGTTTTAGCATCATCAACGTGACAATGGAAAAGCATGACTTTCTAATAAAAAAATAAAAACTCCAATAGATGTTTTAATCTGTGCCGCAGGTCTTCATACTCTTTTGAGGACATGGAAATCAAGGCTAAATAAACATTTCACAGGACCAGCACATAAAGATTAATGGTACATTAGAAATTTGTGCCAGGTGCAGCGAACTGCAGATGCTCCCCCTGCGCTGACACAGTTCACAAATCAGGCCAGAGGCAAAGTAAGTCGTTTCTCTTGTGGCTTCCAAGTGAAGTGAATCTAATAACCGGTGGATTTAAGGGTTTTTAAATTAATTTTGGTCTTGCTCAACAAGCGAGCCAAAGGGTGCTTAAATAAGGAAACGTCTGTGTTAATATTTTTGCCTAAAGTGCTAGACATCTTCAGACACCAGAAGCAGAGTCAACATCAAAACCTGGATCTGTATCTTACCCAAAGCCTGACCTGGAACAGTTTGACCTCTGTCCACACTAAGAGCTGTTAATGCTGCAATGCCAGGTCAAAACTGTCAACCTCCTCTTTTCTCATTAAATTAGTTTCACTAATTTTAACTGTGAAAATGTTTCTTTCAGAGAGCATATCACAGATGACCAGAGGGGAGAATCACACACCGCTGCAGAATCCCTGTGAAATGAAGGTAACCATGACAGTGACGGCAGTTTTTGTCTTTTTAGTGCATTGTGAACTTAACTGCAGGTGCACATGCATCTATAGTTGTTATTTCATGTGTGAGTGCACTTCAGCTCTGCTTGTTTGTGACGCTTCATTAAAAAAACACAAATACAAATAGGATGAATCAATTTCAGAAAGAAGTATTTGTCATTTTCACAATCTGCTCTGCATTCGTGTGAGCGTTTTTGGTCAGGGTTGGTGTTTCTGAGCAATGTGCTGCAGTTTGATTATCTGGTGTGTGTTGACACAAATATTTGTGTGTGTGTACGTGCGTTCAGTGCTCATGTGGTCCTTCATGTCCACATGTGCACAATTTGTGTAATTGTTTTTTTCTCTTGTTAATTAGTCATATTTTCTCCCTTTCCTGCTACGTTGTTTCTCTCATCCATCATAATTCTCATTAATATATTTTGTCTTTGTGTTTTTATTCTTGTTGCTAAAACCACAGAGGGCACTGGAGGAGCAGATGCAGTCGCACCGTGAGACACACAGCAAGCAGCTCGGCTGCCTTCGAGACGAGCTCAGCAAGAAACAGAGGATCATTGATGACTTAACCGAGTCAGTGCTTCAACATAATTCTTCTGTTTCTCTAAATCCACGTTTCATTTAATACATCTATAACCCAACAACACAGTTAAAAAAAAGTATTACAAACCAAAACCACACACACAAAAAACCCTTTTCCATATTTAGACCAGTTTGTAACTTGAAGCCATTGATCACAATGTGTTTTATTAGTATGCAGCTTAGAAAATTCTCTGACCTAATGAAGCATATCAAGTAATAAAAGTAATTGGGGAAAAAAGTGCATTTTGAATTTGCTGTTGGCAACAAAAAATAACTGAACAGGGCTTATTTATGACTTTATTTTTTTTTTTTAGCACAGTGTAATTTCTGTAGTTGTAAAAGCAAAATCTTTGACCATTTTAACTGTTTCAACGATTTCAACAGATCAATAGTTAAGGGTCTCTCTAAATCTTTTCCATTTTATTGTAATGCATCAAATGTTTTAGTGTCTGGGTTTGAACTGGGCACTAATTCAAGCCCTTACCATCCCAGATGCTGGCTTTAAAAACACAATTATTCTGTCACCATTTAATTTGAACCCATCTGTTGTTTTAGAGTCTGCTGATGCCATCAAATCCAAAAGATATACTAATTGAGAAGCTCTTTTTAATATCATAACTTTTTTTTAAACATTTTTTGTTTCTATTTATATCTTTATGTATTTATCCGTGTATGATTTTCTTAACAAGGCTGCAATTAATGGCATGGAAGTGTTCACGGTAAAGATGCATTAACTGGTCTTCGTATCTAAATTTCAAAACGTCTATGCTGTTAGAGGCGCTAGAGAGTCTGAGATGAATATATGTGGGTGGTTGACGTGGTGAGAAAACTGCAGCATAGGACGACTTCAGGACTGAGCTGCTGCTGAACCTCAACATGAAGAACCTCCAGCCTGGATTGGACTAAGTGAAATTCCCCCCATCCCTTTAGGTGCCTGTATGTGATGATGTAATGAATGAAACATGAGAGTCTTATAGGAGACCACTGGGTAGACTGCAGACCCCCTCTAGGGACTGAAATGTATTTCCCAGCTGGCCTGGGAGAGCCGGTTAGCACCAAAGGAACAGCTGCAAAGAATTTTTGTGTGAACGCACATTTGGGGCATCTCCGCTTATCCTGCTTACACAGTTTGAATTGGATAAGCAGCTTGAAAACGGTCGGATGGGTGTTGGTGAGGTAGAACGCATGTTAAATAGAAGCAGAGGTGCCCTCCAGATCTTTCTATCAAAATAAAGCACCTCGCTTTAGATGGATTTTTTTCTTAAATATGAAAGGATATATGAAAATAAAACCCTCACTATAGCTAGAACTAAGGGAGCACAATGTGTACTGTACACATGTGGCCCATTCTATAAATGCCTCATTATTTTGAAAGGTATTGCACATTTGTAGCCAAAAGGAACATTTTGATGCTGAAATTGGGACTTACAGTATTTACACCTTCAGGCAATTCAAGCAGGCCTGTTCTCTGCCAAAATGCTTGTCTGGCTAAAAACGCTCTGATGAGAAATTATAAAGTGGAAAGAAAAATACTCTGCACCTAGAAGTAGAGCTTCTTCATCAGTTTTCCTTCATACTCCTGAGCTGGAGCAAGATGCCTTAGACTCAGGACAGAACATTTACTTTTCTAATGTTATACACAAAGGATGTCAGGCTAAAGAAAAATAAAATATATTGATTAAAAAATTAAACAATGGTTTTAAGTAGGGATGCACAATATTGGATTTTTGGCAGATATCCGATACCAATACTGCTATGTTTTTCCCTAGACCTACTTACAGAGACTACATAGTTTTCTCTGCTGTGGAATTAAAATACTACATTATTCAGTATGGTCTTTATCAGTTTGGCCTGCTACCAAATGCAGATACCAAAAAGGAAGCTGAAAATGATGTAACACTTCAACTTGGATTATGTTTAATGTCAAATTTATTCATGACATTTACTCTCTCTAACATAATGACAACACTCGAACAGTGCAAATTTGTAAATTTTCACAAATATACTGTAAATTCAACCTGTTCACAAGTGACAAGTGAAAAGCGCACAAGTAGTAGTACATTAATAGAAATACTTGACAGTTTTTTAAATAACAAATTAACTCAAAACAGATGTCTTTTATATTGGTGAGTTTTTTTGATGAAATGGCCAATGTCCGATATTTAGCTTTATCGCTAATATCGGCCGATACCAATACCATGCCGATAATATTGTACATGTGCATCCCTATAGTTTTAAATGTTTCTTCCAAGATGCCAAGTGTATTTTACTAAAAAACAACAACATTCAAATGTTACTTAATGGTAAATGGACTGTACTTATATAGCGCCTTTCTATCTTATTTCAAGATACTCAAAGCGCTTTACACTACAATCTGTGCCTCATTTACTCATTCATACAGCACTCTACTAGATCTCTACAAAGCTAATTGAACAAATCATTCTAAAGAGACTAATCAGTGCTTTAGATCACATTCATACACTGATGGGACACACATCAGAGGCTATGAGGGGTTCACTGTCTTGCCCAGGAACACTTCGGCATGTGACTGCTGGTGGATTCAAACCCCCAACTCTCGCGTTGGAGGACGACTGCTCTAACCACTCAGCCACAGCCGCCCCATGAAAGAAAACAGATTATAATACCACAAAGGGGAGTGCAGAGGTTATTTTTCAGATTCAATATCCAGTTTCTATTCTTCCAAATTTCTTGAAATAACAGAATTACTCTGCTAAATTCCAATATTTCTGAAATACAAATGTCCTTTCCTTAATATCAGATCCCTCCATTGCCTCCAGCTGGTTCAAATTGCAGCATCTTGACTGATTACTGGGACTAAAAGGCATGAAGATCCCCCCGTGTTTGACTTAGATTCTGCATTGAAGTTAAAATTGTACTTTACACCCTTAATAGCCATAAATGGACCTTGCCCCTAAATACATGGCAGACTTATTGACATTTTACAGGCTCTCCTGACCAGTGAGCTCCACACATACTGCTAACTGTTCCCTGGTCAGTTGTGACAAAGATAGGGCCTTCTTATTAGAGTCCAGTGGACTCAGACACTCAAGCACCTTCTGAGTTTGTTAAAAGCAGGGCTCTAAAATAGTATTTTCTGATTATCATTAAAAATGAGACCATGACTGAATGAGCTTCTGTTCTTTGCAGCTGTAACCAGAAACAGCATTTGGAGTTGGAACAACTGCACGTTGACTTTGAACGTCTCAGAAGTCAGGAGCATCAGAAGAGCCAACAGCTGGAGGATCTGACGTGAGTCTCTTCCTTACTCTCCTGGCCATCTTTCAAACGCCTCGCCATATGGAGAACTGGAGGCGTGCTGCCTCTTCAAATTCTCATCTTTGTTTTTTTCCTTCAGCCATTTATCCTCCCTTTGCTTTATTTATGATCCACTCACTCTTGAGCTATGTCAGTCCTTTTACATTTTGTGACTCTTTACCGCTTTTTCTTGGCCAGTTTCTTTTCATGGTCTGCTTCTTTCTGTCCAATCCTTTTTGCGTCTTCATTAGACTCTCTTTTAATAAGTTGGCAGCTGGCTGCTAAAGGCCTCATTCTACACTGACCTTTGCAGCATATTGCATCAGATGGCAGATGGTAACACCCCCAATCAGTGGGGCAGCCAGTTTATGCTGGCTTTGTTCTTGTCATGAATTATTCCTGGGTGAATGAGGTAATCATCTGGATAAGTTCAGTTCTCAATCTTTCTGCCTGGCTATCTATTTGTCCATCAATAGATTCCTCTGTGAGCGGCATGAGCAGTCGAAGCAGGACCTCAAAGGGCTGGAGGAGACAGTTGTAAGTCATTATTCATGGTCACGATTCATCCAGATCTCCCAAGAGCCAATGATCCCCTAAAATATGTTGTTAAATAATTTAACTCTTTCTGTAGGGTCGCGAGCTCCACACCTTACACAACCTCCGCAAGCTTTTTGTCCAAGACCTCACGACTCGAGTTAGAAAAGTAAGCTAAGCACGACAGAAGTAACCTTCACAGTCTTGACCTTACTGAGTTGTAGCTCATGTTCTTTTCTTTTTTATACTCAATACCAATGGATCTGTTTTTTTATTGGCAGGGTGCAGAGATGGAGCCTGATCTTACTGGAGGATTTATCACCCAAAGACAAAAGATTTCCTTTCTTGAAAACAACTTGGAGCAGCTTACTAAGGTTCACAAGCAGGTAACACAAGCAGCAGATGTAAGAAAGCAAAGAAGTGTTTCACCTGCCTGCTGCTTTTCCTGTTTCCTTCATCTTTAGAACGCGATCAAGGTATTCACTGCAATGTCATAAAGGCAAAACTAATTATAATGTAAGAAACAGAATCTACACAGTATTTTTATCAGTAAAATTTGCCAACTGCGTTTGTTCACCTAGAGATACAGTCAAAGCTATTAAAAATAGATCAGCAATGGCAACGTCCATGGAAGAGCTGCTTGAGATTGAAAAGTCCAATAATTTTGATGTATTGGTACTTACATGTATTTATGCTCAGATATGTTGAGTGTAGTATGCAAATAAAAGAGCAGTGTTTACATTTGGTCTACACGACAAGGTTTGGGTTTTATGATTCGTTCAAGATGCCGGACAACATGAATGGTTAAAAAGTTTATTGTAATGCAGCTGCTGGTGGAGGTGAGAATCCAGTGGTGGGACCAATCTGCAGAGATATGACAGTGGACTGAATATTTCTGTGAGCGAGATGATGAACAGAAAGACAGTCACAAATCTTCTCAAGCAGGACAGGTGGGGGGTCACCTGTGGGAGTTGGGCAAGATGATGTCACCGCCACAGGGCAGAGCTGAAGAGAGTGTGGTCGGTGGTGGTGGTGGTGGTGGGGGGGGGGTAATCTAAAAACCAACCAGGTCCAGGACTAGAGGTCGGGGTCATACACGGAGGTCAGAGATCCAGATGCAAATCCGTAGGGCAGTCCGTGAGTTGTAGTCGTTGGGCCAGAAAGGATAGTTGGTAACGAAATCAGAAAGGCGAAACAAGAGCAGGCAGCAAGCAGGCAGATCAGGGTTTCCAAAAGGCAGGCGTGAGGACGAGACGAGAACATCACACAAGGCTGTGAACAGAACGCTGGACATCTACTTCCGTGAGGGGTTCGATAATCTGGCAGGGTATGGTGAGAGGAGTCCTTAAATCTGGACCAGAACAGGTGCAGTGAATCAGGGCTGATGAGCTGTGGGTGAAGCGTGGGCGTGGCAGAGTGACAGAGAGGCAGAACATGACACCATACCTCCATTTTAAAATTACATTTCAACATTTTCAGAAAATTATTGTATCAAATGTCACCATTTGATAAGGTTCAGGATATTTTTTATTGTGTATTTCATACTTCGCAATGAGTAAGTTTAATGCCAACATTGTAAATATAATTTAGGTATCATGATTATCAGTGGTTTTGCCACAGTGACCCAGAAAATCTTGAATGTTATGAAAACATGTATACATCTGTAATTGTCTGTTTTAGAGTGTATTGTTTTGTCCTACTATTAGGGATCACTTATAAATATAAATAGCATGGATGCTGCTCTCAGAGGGAAATAGACCTAGTCTGCCCAGCAGTCCAAACCATGAAAACAAGGATTGTTCTAATAATCAGCTGTTAATTCTTGATTAAAAAAATAAAAAAAATTACTATGACGTAAATAACCCACAGCTTTAATACACATATAATAGTTTGGCTGTAAATGAGAACATTTTGAGCTTAATATAAATGCATGATGAATTAAAAAATTTCAAATTAAAATACACTACAGGGTGCATAATTTGGCTTTGTTTCACCGTGGGTAAAAACAAAGTCAGCAGCATCAATCTTGCCGCTGTAACCTTATGAATTTCTCCTTGAAGCCAGAGCGACAGGAGACTTTAAACTGTAACACTTTAAGGGAAAAGAAGCCACAAAGCATAATCTTAGATTTGATTAACATAAAGGAATTAATTCTCAAACAGGTGCAACAGACACGTTCATCATCCCTCTCACGCATTCGCAACACAACACATTCAGAAAGATTAGACTCAGGTGCGCGCGCACACACACACACAAACACACACACTGCCCGTCTTTAATAATCCTAAAAGAACCATAGCAACTAACTAAGTGTTGATGCACGTGTGTTGAAGATGGCACAAATTCTTAGGCGGGCAGGTAAAAGCTGCACTGCAGCAGTTTGTCAGGCTGAGCACCAATCCTAAAATGGTTTGTGGGGGTCTCAGTCCCATCCACTGCCTGCTGATACTGTGGAAGTGGAAAACAAAAAGGCACGGCCGTAAATCAGCGAGCTCCACAAGGGACATGATAAGACTTTCAAAAAGAGGGACAGTGCACCCCGGCTGCAAGTGCCACAGATTTAATCAACATCTGTTCATCTATAACAGCTTGCTATCTCTTACATCTATACTTATATAATGTTCACTTCCTTTGGGAGTTTGCCGTTATTTATTTAGTTATTTTCCAAAATGGATTGCCACAAAATAATAAATTGGTGCAGCTGGACCTCAGGCCAATATATTGAATTCATGAATGTTTTGCTTGTTCAGATTAATTTGTCTGCACGGAGAACCCTCAGCCCTTGTGCTCAGAATCTCTGCAGGGTAAAGATTAGTTTGCATGATCGTGGAGAGTGTCACTGTTTAATGTGCTCAGTTGTTTCCTCTCCCTCTTCTATGAAACATCCAAAGAGAAGTAATAGAAACTCAGATTATCTCCACATCAATTTTGCTTTATGGCCTTCTACAACGGCTCATTTCCTGACTGCAAACAAGCATTTTCTGCTTTACATTATTTTCTCAATATAGTATTTCCATAGAAACCTGTTACAGCCAATCTATACTTTTGAAAGTCCATTCCATGCTCAAATAAACAAGTCAGACATTGCAGGAAAATAATCAATCAACTCATTTTATTCAGTTTTTATGTCTTAAATATGAGTACAGAACTCATGAGGAAGTAATGACACTTTTAAATGGATGAAAAATGATTCATAAATGATAGCTGCAACTTCAATTTAGAGAGAAAGCTTCTATTTTTCTTGGAGAAATGTTCTAAAGTGCAGTCACAACCATTGTCAGAGGACTTCATGATATGGAAATTGGAAATGGATGCCTGTGCAAAAATACAGAGGACACTTTAAATTATAATTTTCTTTCTATATTATATTGCTGTAAGGATGAAAAAGAATCTACAACTGTTTGTGTAAGATTAATGACACTGAACTGCTGAGGAGGCAGCTGCTGACCAGAGAAGGGCACCCAGAAGATGGTGCTCTAATCATCAGAAGGAGGCAGAGTACAGTATTTTCCAGTATATAAAGTCACAGTTTTTTTGCATAGATTTGTCAGTCCAGCAACTTATACACCGAAGCGACTTATATACTTTTTTTTATATATTCATAACACAATTTTGACTGACGCTTTAAACGTCTAAGAACTACAACAGTGAGTCCTCCCGTGCGCGCTTGCTTCACTCAGCTGGTGAAGGTGGAAGAACGGAGGTGAGCTAGTGGCTCCAATCTCAATAGATGGATGGATGGATGGTGCTGCCCAACCAGGTGAAATTAAAAAAATAAGACTGAGACACACCTTTGCTATAATTTTGAGCAAACAAATAATCATTTTTAAGTGTTAATCTTGTTATATTCTTGTTAAAGTTCTCCCGTCCACGCTCCCATAGCCGCCATTTGTCAGCCAATCGATTTTTGGCACAACACCGGCCCACATTTCTGGGTTTGGCCTACATTTCCAGGTTGTCAGCGGTCATGCATAATAGAAGCGACCTATATGGCGAAGCGACCTATATGGCGAAGCGACGTATTTATGGATTTTTCCACTTTATTCGACATATTTGGACTGATGCAACTTATAGGGTAGTGCAACGTGTATGGCAAAAAATACGGTATACGCCGAAGCGATTTATATATGTTTTTTCCTCTTCATGATGGTTTTTGTTGACTGATGCGACTTATACTCCAGAGTGACTTATTCACCAGAAAATGGGGTAGATGCTAATCCAAAACTAGCCCGCACAGACCAACTGCTTATTTGCTTTTTCTCATGTCCATTACTTGAATGATTTGAAAAGTATTTACAACTGCAGTTAGCATTTAGCTCAAAATAAAGACAGCTATGTATTAAATCTTCCATCTGTGGAAATATATTCTTTCATCACATCAGCAGGCAGAATTTGCAGCAGGAAAAATGTTTCATTGCTTTCTTTTGTGTGCTCTATCAGATGTTGACTAAACTTGTTTTTCTCTCTCATGTGTTTCAGCTGGTACGTGACAACGCAGATCTTCGCTGTGAGCTTCCGAAGTTAGAGAAACGTCTTCGCTCTACAGCTGAGCGAGTTAAAGCGTTGGAGGGAGCATTGAAGGAAGCAAAGGAAGGAGCCATAAATGACAGACATCGCTACCAACAGGAGGTGGAGAGAATCAAAGATGTGATGAGGGCTCGCTATCCCTTCCGTCGTCCCCACGCTGCACAGATAGGTGACAGAAACTCCTGATTGGTCAGAAAATTTACCTCAGCGAGCTACACATTACTACTGTTGCATGTGATGTTTCTTTAAAACCTATCTACATAGTAAATATCAAAAATTTACATAGGGTTGCTGCCTTTTTCCTCTAAAATAAAAGGCATAAGAGTCGATACTATAATAGTTAGATTTATAGAAACTGAAAAAGGTGTAATTAAATAGTTAGATTTGTTTTGTTATTGTCAAGTTTTACATCTAATTGAACAGACACTGATTTGTGTAACGTAGTCGTGTGTTTAAAACTCGAGATTTAAAGAGAGGAAATGTCAAATCACGACAAAAGCTGGGCATGAATTTGATTAAGTCATTATGGATGTCATTGTAATTTTGAGTTTTTTTTATTATTTAAGTGCACAACACTCAAGTAAAAAAATGTATGAGTGCACAACGTCCATGATTTTTTACTTAATTCCTTTAGAATTGGTTGCACAAGTTGGATTTTATTATAGATTTCTCTAATCCACACAGGGTCAGACTTAAACATTAAATTTCTAATACACTGCATACATCCTAAATAATATTTGACTAAATGTTCCTCAGTAAGGTTTACCTTAACCACACCTTTATTGTAGCTATCAACAAGCTTCTGGCACAACTCCTCTTGGCAGAATTGTTACAAATCCTTTATATCGATTGGTTTCTTGGCACAGACCTGTTTTAAGCCTAATCCAGTGGTTAATTTGAGCTGGCGTTACACCATATTCTGTGACCACTGTATATTGTGACCGTAGGGGGCGCTGTTGCATTTTTACACCATACTTTGCAATATCTGATAAACACTATCATATTCTATGACTGTTTTCATTTGCCTAATCCATACATTTTTGACAGACTTAATGTCACAGCTTGGACAGCGCTATGCCAGAGGCATAATGCCGACCAGCTTCACCCAATCAGAAACCAATGTTGACGTGTGTTTAGAATAATGGTTCTGCTGGACACCCACCTGCGTCCAGGTTTCAACTGTCCAGCTGTTGATGCAGTTTTCTCAGGTCTGAAAACCCCACCTCAACTCCTCCAGACTTACTGCACTTCTCATCTTGGAGGCCAAACAGCTCTTTGTCTTGTTTTACCTTAACATTTATCTCCAGGTTGGATTTGACATTATGGACAGTTGCAAATTTTAGTTGAGCTTGAAGGCGACATTATAGGAGCAGAGGTCTCTTTCTCGATCGGTAGCCTCTTAGTCCACAGTGATGTGAGACTTGCTTCACCGTGGGGTGTGACACTGGTGTGCCAGCTCATAACAGGCTTGAGCCTTAATTGTTCCTGGTCCAATTATTTTTCTGCTGGCTAAAGGAACTTTCCAGCTGTGTTCAGTCATGATCACTTATGAAAAGCAAGCCTTGATCTATTCCAGTTAAAATGCATTCTTCAACCTTCAGCACCACATCTTGAAAGTCTTAGGTGAATGTATGAATATATTTCAACCTGTATGTATAATTTAGATTATATCCTGATTAGGAATACATCTCAGTCATTTAAAAAAAATGGTGCACTCAATTCTTGTTTTAAAAAAATCATCAAATTTATATGTTGTATAATCATTACATCCTGGAAAAAAATGGTTAAAAAGTAATTAAAATCCCCAAGTTGTTAAGTCCACAATGAGTGCATGTAAAAGTCTGACCACAGTTACATTTATGATACACATCATAAAGTCTAGGTCTGATAATTAGAATAAATTCAGTCTCCCAGTATGCGTTCTCTTTCACAGGGTAGATATTTTCCAGCCTCTATTTCATCTCTCACATCTGCTACTTCACTCTCTTTCCATCAGACTGTGAGAGAAATTGCTCCCCCTGATGCAACCATCCCATTTATGTCCCTGCTGTGCCTACTTCATAAACTACATCCCATGTATACCTCCACTCATCTGCCATCCTTTCCTTTCCTCTATCAGCACTTAAAAAAAAAAAAACATTTTTCAGCCCTTTTTGCTGATGGTTAGTCTTACTTTGTACTTTGTAATTGAAAAATAGAATGATCCTAAATACATAGTGTGTTTAAGCTATGATAGCTCATAAGGTGTAAAATAAATTTAGCAGCAGGGCTGTGTATAGGTTGCAGAAAGGGGAATAATCAAAACAGAGACAACACGTGCTTGAAGGGGATTTAGTTGTTTAGTGAAACAAATCACAGGCAAAGACTCACAGAGTTTGCATGCTCTTTTGAGAGAAATGTCATTTTTTTGAAATTAGTGCAATTCATTTTAATCTTCAACTACTATCATTGCGGGTTCAACCAAAGGTAATTGCAATGAAGAATTTAGAGACGTATATGCTGCTGCTATGAGAAAACGAGATATTGATTTATGTGAGGGTTTTTAAAATGATGCGTTTCTATAGAGGGTTTTTACAATGGCAATTAAGAATAAAGGGAAACTGTGCTGTAAATTAATATGTTCACATTACTCCAGACACATTCAAACCTTTGTGCTTTTTTGCTAATTCACCATGTGGTGCTCCATCCTTTAGGAAAAATAAACAAGTCCTTTAGTTTTTAGAATGAGTTGTTTAATCAGTGCATTAATCCTCTTGTTATCTCACAGCCAAGCCTGTGCGCCCCGGCCACTACCCGCTCTGCTCCCCCTTCAACCCCTTCTTCATTCGAGGCTACAACGGGAGCCCGGTTCCCTTCAGCTACAATGCTTTGCAGAACAAAAACAACAAACCAGCAAAAGAAACAGAGGACAGACTACCTGAGACTGACTCAAACCAGAACAGCCCAACAGAACACCTTGACTCACAGATCAACGACATGCAAGACAGCGACGACCAGAACATGTGAGTAAAATCAGCTTTATGTTGATTATGTCATATTTTGTGGCACTTTCATGCTTCACAATACTGTCTGACCAAAAGAAAGCATTAAAATGCCCTTAAACTTGATCATTTCAGCCAATCAGCGATGATGAACATTTTGTTCAGACAACCAAATATAAATGCACTTTCTCAAACTTTTTAAGTTTTAAAGTTTTAAAAAAATAAAAAAGTTTTTAGTTCAGCTGAATTCAAATTCTATTTGCTACATTTTAGTCTGAGCTCTTAACAACTTTCTTAACTTCTGACATTGTGGTTTAACAAGATAATTTGAACTCAAGGTTCACTTTAGCACCTTATATATCTTCCATCCTCAGCTGCAGTGAGGTTGCCATGGCAACCTTTCAAGGAATACTGAAGGCTCAGGAAAATCTATAAAAATGAGTCTGAGTTAATGCATTTTTTGTGCTAGCTTTATTATTATTATTATTGTTGTTATTATTAATAATGTTGTTATAATTAATTCAGTTCCATTTATTTATATATTGCCAAGTCACAACAGAAGTCGTCTCTGCACAAAAACATTCACAAATATTAAAAAAGCCAATTAGTAAAAGTTATCTATCTAAGGAAGCCAGCATATTGTGTTGAATCCACTTCGTCACAGTCTCCCATCCTGAGCAAGCACACTGGCAACAGTAGAAAGGCCTGTTGGTTGCTCAGGTTGGGTTTTTGGTGGTACCCCTCTCTTGGATCAATTTGGGCCCCACATTTGGTGTGGGGCCCACTCCCCCCGGTCGTGCCCCCCTTTGGCGGGGGACCCCCTTGCCGCCGGTGCATTGGTGGCTCTCGGTGTCTGGGCTGGGTGGTGGGGTGCACGTCGGTCTGCCCTGGTTGCTGCCTGGCGGGGCCTGGGTGCCCTGGCTCTGTCGGGGCTCTGCCGGGGGGTGGTATGGCCTCGGGGCTTGGGGCTCGGTGTCCATGGCCGGATCTACTTGGGGGGGCATGGGTCGCCGGCCGGACCTGTGGGCTCGTCGCTGCAGCTTCCTGGAAGCTCTGCATTGTGGTGGCTGGGGTCACCCGGTTCTTTCCTCTGCTCCTCTCTGGGGGGGTGCGGTTCTCCCTGTTGGGAGCCTCCTGGGGCTCCGGGCCTGTGGGCCGCTGTGTGTCTGTGGCTCCGGTCCTCCCTATGTTGCCATTGTGTCCTGGGGGACGGGTCTGTGGGCCCCCGCGTCCACTATTGGGCATTCTTTTGGAGAAATCTGGTGGTGGCAGGCGTGCTTGCGCGGGTGTTTGGATTCAGGTGCTGTGACAGATGCACGCTAGGTTGGGTAGTGGTGGAAGCTAGATGATTCCTTGTGCAATGTCGAATGTTTCATGGTGATATTGTGGGTGGCATTGTGCTGTGCATGTTGTTTTGTCGTGGTGGTCTCTCGTCTTATCTATTTCTCTTTTATTATTTAATTATTCTTCTTTCTTCTCTCTTTAAAAAATAAATAAATAAATAATAATAAATAAAAAAAATAAAAAAAATTGAGCGATGACGATAAGTTCATTGAAACACTTCACAATGTTTCTACACTTAAACTGAGCTCAAAAAAAAAAAAAAAAAAAAAAAAAAAAAAAACAGTAGAAAGGAAAAACTCAGTTTTAAGAAATCCCCCAGCAGAACCAGGCTCAGGGCGATTACAAATAAAACAGGCAGAGTAGATCAAGTAAAGACATCAGCAGAGTGAGGAAATGTGGTCAATTTTATCCTCCAGCAGTCTAACCCTATAACAGCAGTACTCCGGTTTCCTCCCACAGACAAAAAACATGCATGTTAGGCTGCCTTCAGGCTCAGGCCTCCAGTGCAAAAGAGATCTGTGATCTCAATGGGATTTGCTTGGTTAAATACAGATTAATAATTTATTAAAAAGTAAAGATCTAAACCTAATCTTCAAAGTAGACAAGGTGTCAGCCTTATGGACAGAAACTAACTGGAAGTTGGTTCCATGAGAGAGGAGCCTGGTAACTGAAAGACCTTCCTCCCATTCTGCTCTTGGAAACTCTAGGAACCACAAGTAAACCTGCAGCCTTGAGTACGAAGTGCTCTGTTAGGAAAGTATAAAACAATCTGATCTGTAATATAAGATGGAGCTAGGTTGTTGAGAGCTTTGTAGGTTAGAAGTAAGATTTTGAATTCCATTCTGAATTTGACAGGGAGCCAGTGGAGAGAAGCTAAAACTGGAGAGATATGATCTCTCCTACTAACTCCAGTTAAGACACTGGCAGCAGCATTTTGGATCAACTGAAGACTTTTTAAAGAAGTTTTTGGACACCCAGACAATAATCCATTGCAATAGTCCAGTCTAGATGTGACAAATGCAATAACCAGTTTTTATGCATCATTTTAGATAAGATGTTTCTCATTTTAGTGATTTACGCAGGTGGAAGAAGGCAGTTCTAGTAATGTTTTTAATGTGGGGCATAAAAGACATGTCCGGATCAAAAATAACACCAAGATTTTTAACATTAGAGCTGGAGGACAGATTAATGCCATCCAGAGGAAGTGAAAAAACTGAAAAATGTATTCCCCAATTGCTCAGGTCCCAAAACCACAATCTCTGTCTTGCCTAAGTTTAAAAGCTGAAAATTAAGGGTCATCCATAATTTTATGTCTTTAAGACATGTAGTCTAAGTAACTGATTGGATTCATTGAGTTTCGTGGACAAATATAATTGTGTATCATCAGTATAACAATGAAAATGTATCCCATGCTGTTTAATAACATTACCTAATGGAAGCATATAAAGGTAAAGAGTATTGATCCAAGCACCGAACCCTGAGGAACTCCATGACTAATTTTGGTGTATGAAGAAGATTCATTATTTACATTTACAAACTGGAATGATAAATACATTTTAAATATGATTTAAACCATTTTAGAGCTGTTCCTGTAATCCCAATATCATATTCAAGTCTCTGTAGTAAAATATTGTGATCACTTGTATCAAATGCAGCACTGAGGTCTAACAGGACCAGTGCAGACAAAAGTCCATTTTCTGAGGACATGAGAATATCATGAGTAACTTTCACCATTGCTGTTTGTGCAATGATGATCTCTAAACCCTGACTGAAATTCCTCAAACTGATTATTTCTGTTCAGATGTTCACACAATGGATTTGCAAGTATTTTCTCATGATTTTTTTATATTAAAGTTAGATTAGATATAGGCCTATAATTGGCCAGAGTTCCTGAATCAAGGTCAGGTTTCTTAAGTAAAGGTTTAATTACAGCAACCTTAAAGCTCTGTGGTACATAACCATTCATTAAAGGCAAATTAAGTAGACCCAAATTGTGGATATTAATTAGGGGAAATACCTCTTTAAACAGTCTGGTTGGGATGGGATCTAGCAGACATGTGGATGGTTTGGATGAAGCTATTATTTTGACAATTCAGAGAGTTCAACAGGACAAAAACAGTCCAAATGTAAATCAGGTTCTAGTATTATTATTATTGTCTGTATAGTCACTATGTAGATGAACAGATGCTCGGATATATTCATCAATTAACACGGATT